TCAAAACACAGATGCAGTCGATCGAGTCCAACAACACCCCTAATGCTCGCACAGTCCTATAGGGTCGACATTTAATATGGTAACGTTAGGCAGTTTTGATTTATATGCTGTTTAATATTGATGGACACGTTATTTTACGCATGCATATGTGTACATATGATATCATTTGTTTCTGCTTCTTCTTCACCTATGTTTTGAGCAGGAGATCCAGCACTCTTCCAGAAGATGCGTAATAGCGCCCCCTATCGCATAACAGTGAAAACACGGAAAGCTGTAAAATTCTGGAAGGATAGCGTTTTCTCACAAATGACGGAAATTTTCGTCAATTGCGGGGAAAGAGTTGAGATGTGAATTCACAACGTTGGAAAAGCATATTCAACAACAAAACATGATGACGTCCACATGCTGTGAGAAGAGTTTTCAGTGCAAAAGAAGTCACATTAAGGTAAACGCAAGACTACAGATCTCAATGCACCAGCTTATAAAAGATAGAGATTGAATCGCCTGAAAATGTGTCCGATTGACAAAAGGGATGTAAACTTTGCTCACAGTGGGCAAGGCTTTCTCAAATGAGTCAGTAGTTCACTGGAGTGTGTGAAGCTCCTCTCACATGAAGAGCACCGGTACATCTTCTCTCCCGTGTGTAATCTCTCATGCGCTCTCAGGTGTCCTGACTGAATGAAGCTCTTCCCGCAGTGTGAGCACGTGTACGGCTTCTCTCCAGTGTGAATCCTCTGGTGTCGCCTCAAGGAGTCGGCTGTGTTGAAAGAATTCCCGCACTCACGGCACTTGTGAGGTCTTCCACCGATATGCATTTTCTGGTGCTCGTTGAAATACTCCAGTGTGAAAAACTCTTCCCGCAGAAAGAGCACAAGTGAGGCTTCTGGTTTGCATGCATCTTCAGGTGTCTTCTCAGTAGTTTGGCCAAAATAAAGTTCTTATCGCACTGATGGCAGCTGAAGGATCTCACTCCAGAGTGGCGGCGCAGATGATTCCTGAGGACGCTCGTGGATGTGAAGCTGCGTTCGCACTGAGAGCATGTGAAGGGTTTTTCTCCAGTGTGAACACGCAGGTGTCTGTCAAGGTTTGCCTTCTGCTTGAAGCTCTTTCCACACTGAGAGCATGTGAACAGCCTCTCTCCGGTGTGGATCCGCCCGTGTTTATTAAGGTCTCCTTTATGCGGGAAGCTCTTTCCACACTGCGGACAGATGAAATAGTTTTTGCCTCCTGATTTGTCTCCAGTTGTGAAGTGAAGATGATGGTGTTTCTCCTGCTACTCATTCTGTCCCAACACGTCTAAAATGGAGATACCAAATTGTCAAAAATCGATTTAAAAGGAAAAATTGTGAACAATTAAACAGATGAAACAATTCAAGGTGAAATTTAATGGCAGGAAGACCATTAAAATATTAATATTTTAAATTATAATAATTACATTATGTATATATTCACAAAAACACTATAAATGGTCTAATAATAATATTGTATAAAATGTTTATTATTAATAATTTTTGATATTAGCTGTCAAATTATAAGTTATAGGCCTATAATAAAAACACATGATATAGCAATGACATTAAATGGCAGGAGGGCATTGAAATGTTTAAAAATTATAAGTATTATATATATATATATATATATATATATATATATATATATATATAATAGTAGGCCTATGTAATGCATTAATTTACCAAATCATCTGTTGTCAAATTATATAATAATAATGTTATGTACAATTCTTCATATTAATTATTAATATAAGCTGTCAAATTATATATTATATTATAATAATTAAATGTAATGGTAGGAAGGTCATTAAAAATATTAAATTTTATGTTCATTTTTTTGTTCATTTACAAAAATACTGGAAGCTGTCAAATAATAATAATTAATCTTTGGTTTCAAATAATAAATAATATAATGTTATAACAATGTTAGTAATAATAATAATAATAATGTTATATTATACTACTACTAATAATAAGAATGATCAAATATTTATATATTTGACAGCTTCAAGAATTGTTGTACCTAATCTGCTGAAGGATTGTGAGTGAGCTTAATATTTCTAAGCAGTCAAATAAATAAACACCAACCTGTTTGCTCCTCAGATTCTTCTTGTTTCATTCTGTCGGGTTCTGAACCGCTCATGTTTTCATTCTCCTCTTTAATAAACTCCATCTTTACAGCGGCCTGTCATGTAGAACTCAGCTGAAGTAATTCTCCACATGTATGAACTGAAGGATGAACGTCTGTCCTAAACACAGCCTGAACCCCTGCTGTGCTCCTCCGCGTTCAGACAGTCGGAGATGAGTCCGCTCGCTCGCTGTAGAACTCGGCAAACGGAAATGAAACGCGACGTGTTTGAAAAGATTCGAAAAATTGTTTACATTCGACGCCGAAGATTCGAAACCATAAACATGTGATCTATGACGTTCGATGCTCCAGTCAGCTGAGAACCACGTGACTGTATTAGGAGGCGTTTTCGACATAGACTTAGGTCTATATGTATTTTGATATGTCTATGGTGTTCCAGACGAGTTTTCCACCGACGGGAAACATAAACTGAAAATATAAACGAAAGATAATTTTTGTTTTTAAATAGTTTATTTTCAAATGGGTTGAATTACAGGGCTGTTTTCAGAAGAAGTGCCATTTGTACACAGTTAAATATTACAGGGCTGAAAATCAGGCAAATATCATCACAACACAAAAAAATATTCACAGTTCAATATTTGTGTACTTTGTGCAAAGAAATGTGTTGCAATAATAAACCAAAAATATATATTGATAAAGCTGTAAGAAAAATGTACTTCTTTTATGATCATCATATTTCACTCCATTACATATTATATCATAACAACCATTATTTTGAAAGTCTTTAGTCTTTTCTTCTCTATTGTGACGTATATCCCAGTGAACACTTCTGGAACAAGAACAAATGTAAGGGAGAAGAGATGTAAAAGAGAAATGTAGAAGAGATGAGCTGCAAGAGGGGGAAGTTATTTTGATTAAAGTATCATATTCAAATTTAAAAAAAGAATGATGTGCACGGATAAATATAATAAATACTGCAATTAGGGATGGGACGATTACCGGTTTCACGATAAACCACGATAAAATGGCCTGGCGGTTAGTATTATCGTTTAAAATTTAATTATCATAAAAACCGTGTTTGATTATCGTGATTTTGAAAACTCGCGGTAAATCCTGTCCAGCCAGAATCAGTCTGACGCAGGCGCGAGCACTCAGCAGGCGCGCAGATGCACTGTTGTTTTTTTGCGCGAGAAGACATGGCGGAAGGCAGTGACAGCGCACGGGAGATTTTTCAGCCATCCAAGAGGACAAAATCGGAGGTATGGTCGTATTTTGGCTATTACAAGAGTCCCGAGGGCAATTTAATCGAGGATGGGCAGCCTGTCTGCAAATCTTGCAAGAGGAAAGTCGCTGCAAAAGGGGGAAACACGTCAAATCTGCTAAGTCATCTAACGTTACGTGACAACCACCCACTGAGTTAATTTTTACCTTAATAGCACAACTAACTTGGGCAAATAATTAGACAAAAAATGTATTGGAGATGAATTATTTCATTATCTCACTTGTAATTATTGCAAAGCTTCCGCGAAGAGAAAAGTTTTACAGCAAGTGGATTTGAGCCAAGACGAACGAACATATTCAAACTATTAAGGGTGACATTTAAGGGATAATGTATTGTATTCATTCATAGCAAACTTATTACAGTTTTATTTTTTACCACAGAAATAATTTCAGGGACATGAAATATTGAATTGTGATTAACTTAATGTTTTTAAATCTTGCCGGTTTATAAATCCATTATACAAGTTACAGTGTCCAAATCAATCGTAAAGTAAATGTGATCACTACAACAATATTGTAGTAGTATTAATACTAAATTACTCTGATTTAATTTTCAATACAATCAAAACTGAGACGCAAGACATACACACTTGAATGAAACCAGAGATTGCGTCCGCGGTGATCCGAGACATGGATGTGCGCTGTGTAGTGTGTTGCTATTTACAACAGTCATTATAAGTATTCCAGTAGTTTAGTCACCCTGACCCAACCAACATATTTTGTTCATTTAAAGTGTGTGTGCGTGCGTGCGTGCGTGCGTGTGAGTGTGTGTGTGAGAGAGAAAGCGATTTATTATTTATTAATAATAATAATATTCAGTCATACACACATCCATAAGTGTTATTATCATTATTAGCCTAATGATAGGGTTTAATGACGGGTTCATTAAAACCTGCACTAGGAAAACTTATACCTCTCACTCTCAGGGCTCCATGTTAATGTTAATATAATGTTTATGCTTAAAAAAGTGCATATAGCTGCTAGCCTGCTAATTGTATTTTTTGTTTGTTGATTTTCAAATGTTTTCAGGGTGAGCATCAGTTCTTTTTGAACATTTCCATCTCATTTTAACAAAACCGTGATAATATTGATAATCGTGATAACTTTGGTCACTATAATCGTGATATGAAATTTTCATACCGTCCCATCCCTAACTGCAATATTCCTTAAAAATAACTTCATGGTTACTTTAAAATGTGGAAATGATGGCATGTAATGGGGCTGGACAAAAAGGGCTTTTTCCATTTTAGAAGTGAAATAAAGGTAAAATAAATATTTTTTCGTGCAATTACACAATAGAAATTGACTCACCTGAACACTGCTGACTGTTTCTGACATTTTCAAATTGTGAGATTGTCCTGTTTTGTTGCCATAGACCTCTTGAAGCTCCGCCCTCTTCTAGAAAGGGGGCGGGGAGCAGCAGCTCATTTGCATTTAAAGGGTCACACACAAAAAATGGCGCATCACCTCCAAAAAGTGTAATTTTTAACATGTTATAAAAATGATCTGTGGGGTATTTTGAGCTCAAATTTCACATACACACTCTGGAGACAACAGAGACTTATATTACATCTTTTAAAAAGGGGGAATAATAGGTCCCCTTTAAATGATCTTATGACGATCCATGCTGTAATACACACACGCATAGAGCGTGATCTTGAGGGATTTGTTCAGATCTCGCTGCATCAGTTTTCATCCTCATCTGGACGATGTTTCTTCATATGAGCGGGCAGATTCCTGGACGTGCTGAAACTCGTCCCGCAGAGCGAGCAGAAGTACGGTTTCTCTCCCGTGTGAACCCTCAGGTGTTGTTTCAGGTGTCCTGACTGAGAGAAGCTCTTCCCGCAGTGTGAGCACGTGTGCGGCTTCTCTCCGGTGTGAATCCTCTGGTGTCTCTTCAACGTGTCGGACGAGTGGAAGGCGTTCCCGCACTCGAAGCACATGTGAGGTCTCGCTCCGCTGTGTGTTTTCTGGTGCTTTTTCAAACAGTCCAGCTGAGAAAAAGCCTTTCCACAAAGAGCACAGGAGTGCGGCTTCGAGTCCGCATGGATCAGCATGTGTCTCTTCAGGTGCGAGGGCAGGATGAATGTCTTCCCGCACTCTTCACAGTGAAACGCTCGGACTCCCGAGTGAGAGCGCTGGTGTTTTCTGAGTCCGTCTGCTAGTGTGAAGCTCTTCCCACACTGAGGACACGAGAAGGGCTTCTCTCCGCTGTGGATCCGCTCGTGTCTCACGAAATCTCCTTTACGCCTGAAACTCTTCCCACACTGAGGGCAGAGGAAAGACGTCTGGACCCTTGTTCTCGGAGGAAAACGGCTTTCGGTCTGTGAGCGGCTTGAAGATTTTTCTCCGGTTATGAAATGATTTGGTAAAACCTCCAGTTCAATGACTTCCAACAGATCTGAAATGACACGATGGAACATATTAAAGTCACACAAAAGGAAAATTTGATTTTTGAAACATTGTCCATAAACCAAGATGATGAAAACTGATGCAGTGAGATCTGAAAAAGGACTTTATTGCATTGAAATCACACAATATTGTTTTATATGCATGTCTGTAAACATAAATCAAGCCAATATCTATCTATCTATCTATCTGGCAATCTATCTATCTGGCAATCTATCTATCTATCTATCTATCTATCTATCTATCTATCTGGCAATCTATCTATCTGGCAATCTATCTATCTATCTATCTATCTATCTATCTATCTATCTATCTATCTGGCAATCTATCTATCTGGCAATCTATCTATCTATCTATCTATCTATCTATCTATCTATCTATCAGTCTATCTATCTATCTATCTATCTATCTGGCAATCTATCTATCTGGCAATCTATCTATCTATCTATCTATCAGTCTGTCTGTCTGTCTATCTATCTATCTATCTATCTATCTATCTGGCAATCTATCTATCTATCAGTCTGTCTGTCTGTCTGTCTGTCTGTCTGTCTGTCTGTCTGTCTATATATCTATCTATCAGTCTGTCTGTCTGTCTATCTATCTATCTATCTATCTATCAGTCTGTCTGTCTATCTATCTATCTATCTATCTATCTATCTATCTGACTGGCTATCTATCTATCTGACAATCTATCTATCTATCTATCTATCTATCAGTCTGTCTGTCTATCTATCTATATATCTATCTATCAGTCTGTCTGTCTATCTATCTATCTATCTATCTATCTATCTATCTATCTATCTATCTATCTATCTATCTATATATCTATCTATCAGTCTGTCTATCTATCTATCTATCTATCTATCTATCTATCTATCTATCTATCTATCTATCTGGCTGGCTATCTATCTATCTGACAATCTATCTATCTATCTATCTATCTATCTATCTATCTATCTATCTATCTATCTATCAGTCTGTCTGTCTATCTATCTATCTATCTATATATCTATCTATCAGTCTGTCTGTCTATCTATCTATCTATCTGGCAATCTATCTATCTATCTATCTATCTATCTATCTATCTATCTATCTATCTATCTATCAGTCTATCTCTCTGTCTGTCTATCCATTTAATAAGTTAAATATCAGGCATTATTATTATTTATACTCATCAGTTTATTTTTATCTCTTACCTCATTTTATGAGATATTTCATAGCTCTTATGATATTTTATATCTGCTGAAATGCATTAAGGTTTGTGGCCTGAATGTTCTTCAACAATCATCGGTGAGGAATCAATATAGACACCAACCTGTGTGTTGCTCAGGATCATCTTTATTCATTCTGCAGGCTCCTGAATCACTCATGTTCTTCTCATCCTCCTGAATCACTCATGTTCTTCTCATCCTCCTGAATCACTCATGTTCTTCTCATCCTCCTCTCCTCTGACATGTCACGTGGACGGCAGTTGTTTCTCCTCTTGTTTTGTTTTATTCTTCACTTGTACAGTATGAAGATGGGAACATTCCCGAACATTTACAGTTGATATTCAGCGTTACTCTTCTTCTTCTTCTTCTTCTTCTTCTTCTTCTTCTTCTTCTTTGTTGTCTTCTGATTTCTGATGTAATGACGGCGCATTTCTGCCATCTAACGGGCTGGCATGTGAAGTGGGCTTTCATTTGACGTGATAGTGATTTTAACCCTCTTTCATATCACTTTTTAAATGTGCATTGATGCTTTGGTATTATTTTAAGCAAAACAACCATTGCAACGAAGCACTTAAAATTGAAAAAGAAAAAAATAAGTATTCTTCTTAAAACTTTATGCGCGAGCGTATGTGCACGAGCATGAAGTATCGAGAGTATGTGCACGAGCATGAAGTATCTTTCGATTTTGGACGCACTGAACCTGTGTGTGATGCGCCATCGTGTGGTTAACATGGAAACTACAGGAACGTTTATTACGACATAATGGATGTGTTAATCTAAAATTATCTTTAGAAATATATACATTCTAAAATGCTCGAAAAATATGAATTTACACAAAACAATTTAGGCTTTGTGTGAGAGATCTGTTCTTTAGTGATGTAGGTTTCACTTCCAACCACGAGATGGCAGCAGCGCTACAGCGCACGTTATTTTACATAATTACATATTCCAACTTAATTAATCACAGAAACATGCTTTATTGTCAATCCATTTGGTTAAAAAAAACCTTTGGTATTTTGGTGAAGCGTTGAAGCAGCTTTTCTACAAACAGTATTTTTTATGTGGAAATGGAAAACTAGTTAATCACAGGGTAGCTTATATTCAAGTCGACGTATGAATTGCATTTGGGTTGGGGTATGTTCATGTATGTTCTCTGTGTAGTTTTGTGCAGCTATGAATAAAAAATCTTCTAGGGAAATCTCGAACACTAGGCTATTGTTTCTGCATGCGGGACAGGCACGTGTGCTGTCTTGTACATTCACTTCCTTCTCTGAAACTCTGTTATGATCATACAGTGAGTGAGGAAGATAAAACCTGTCCCACTGTGTGTGTTCTCACAGGAGAGAGGGAAGAGGTCAATCGTGTTTCCTTTTATTAGTCTGGCATACAATGGGGTCCAAAAGTGCAAGACCACGATTAAAAATGCTTTTATTCTGCAGTCTCACAATATGTTTGTTACAAAATACATTACTCTGCATTTGTCCAGAATAGAATGTTGTTTGAATAGAATGTTGTTTGAATAGAATGTTGTTTGAATAGAATGTTGCATACAGAACAATAAATAGAATGAAGTGTTTCCTCCAGTATTTTTCTTAAAGGTGAGCAGGAAGTGAGGAACAGCAGGAAGACCCAGGACTCGTGTCTCCAGGCAGCGGCGGTAGGCTATAATGAGAGATCACCTTCACATTAGTGCTGGTCCATTTCCTTGTTCCTGTTATCACTCAAAGGTTCTGCAGCTGATGTATTGTCAAGCTCATGTTTGACTTTGTGATTGTTTGAGAAGGCCTACACCCTTCTCATAAACAGGGCATTAATCTTCCTCATAAAGAGAACATGTTTATGATTATTGAGTGAACATTAGGTCTGCTGGGAAAATTTCCTAAAACCCTCTCTCTATCAAAGCATGACTAGGCAGGTGTGTGTTTGCATATATATATATATATATATATATATGTGTGTGTGTGTGTGTGTGTGTGTGTGCGCGTGTGTATATATATCAAAGACAACTTTTATTTAACCCTTTACGTACTAAAATGTATTAGACAATGTACTTCAAAGGACAAGAATATGATTTTCCAATCTTGTATTTACCCAAAAGGCATTTAAAAAAAAAATAGTTTGGACAATATAAATGTATTTATTAAAAAAAACGTAATATTTAACAAAAACATGTGAGGAAAATAAACATATCTATTTATTAAAAATATATTTTGGACAATATAAATGTATTTATATAAATATAATATATATAAAAAAATTATGTGAAGAATATATATATATATACACTCACCGGCCACTTTATTAGGTACACCTGTCCAACTGCTCGTTAACACTTAATTTCTAAGCAGCCAATCACATGGCGGCAACTCAGTGCATTTAGGCATGTAGACATGGTCAAGACAATCTCCTGCAGTTCAAACCGAGCATCAGTATGGGGAAGAAAGTTGATTTGAGTGACTTTGAACGTGGCATGATTGTTGGTGCCAGAAGGGCTGGTCTGAGTATTTCAGAAACTGCTAATCTACTGGGATTTTCACGCACAACCATCTCTAGGGTTTACAGAGAATGGTCCGAAAAAGAAAAAACATCCAGTGAGCGGCAGTTCTGTGGGCGGAAATGCCTTGTTGATGCCAGAGGTCAGAGGAGAATGGCCAGACTGGTTCGAGCTGATAGAAGGGCAACAGTGACTGAAATAACCACTCGTTACAACCGAGGTATGCAGCAAAGCATTTGTGAAGCCACAACACGCACAACCTTGAGGCGGATTGGGCTACAACAGCAGAAGACTCCACCGGGTACCACTCATCTCCACTACAAATAGGAAAAAGAGGCTACAATTTGCAAGAGCTCACCAAAATTGAACAGTTGAAGACTGGAAAAATGTTGCCTGGTCTGATGAGTCTCGATTTCTGTTGAGACATTCAGATGTTAGAGTCAGAATTTGGCGTAAACAGAATGAGAACATGGAACCATCATGCCTTGTTACCACTGTGCAGGCTGGTGGTGGTGGTGTAATGGTGTGGGGGATGTTTTCCTGGCACACTTTAGGCCCCTTAGTGCCAATTGGGCATCGTTTAAATGCCACGGCCTACCTGAGCATTGTTTCTGACCATGTCCATCCCTTTATGGCCACCATGTACCCATCCTCTGATGGCTACTTCCACCATGTCACAAAGCTCTAATCATTTCAAATTGGTTTCTTGAACATGACAATGAGTTCACTGTACTAAAAAGGCCTCCACAGTCACCAGATCTCAACCCAATAGAGCATCTTTGGGATGTGGTGGAACGGGAGATTCGCATCATGGATGTGCAGCCGACAAATCTGCGGCAACTGTGTGATGCCATCATGTCAATATGGACCAAACTCCCTGAGGAATGCTTCCAGCACCTTGTTGAATCTATGCCACGAAGAATTGAGGCAGTTCTGAAGGCAAAAGGGGGTCCAACCCGTTACTAGCATGGGGTACCTAATAAAGTGGCCGGTGAGTGTATATATATATATATATATATATATATATATATAGCCTACATGTTAATAAATTAAAATTAGATTTTCACATCTATATTAGTGAAGCATTTTTTGCCTTTTTTGTATTTTTTAAAATACATTTTGAATATATCTGTGTGTTAGTGCTGCATGATGCACAGCTGCTGCCCATTTAGTTGGTTCCTGACCGCAGTTCTCATTGCAAAAGTGTCTCTAATGAAAATATTGAATCATGATTCGTGTCTTTACTCTGCGTGTTGAAATGCTTCACCGTTTGCATTGCATCACTGCCGCCTGTCCTGCAAACACACACTCCTGCGTTTAATAAAGCATGGACATACAAGCACACGTCAAGTGTGTCTTCAGCTTGTGCATGTGTGACGTGTGAAGAACATCAAGATAAGACAATGTGTTATTTATACATCATTTCCAAGCAAACTGAAATTTTGTGAAAAAGTGTGAAAATATTATGAAATCCTGCATATGGCGTGCATATTCCAAAATATATCAATGCTGGCTTTCAAAAAAGAGTTACTCTTTACGCATGTATGTTTTCTGTTGGAGATCGGCAGTGGACTAATTCAACTAGTGCAAACTAGTTTCAGTGTGAAAAGATTTTCTAAAAGCCCACACAGCCAAAAGTGGACATTTATAAAGAAAGAAAAAACTGGATTCTGATCTCTGTTAACCTCCACTGGACATGAGGAACCACAGACACGTTTTTTAATAAATGTTTTTTATTTCCTCCTGCTGATCGTGTTATAATAAGTGTTTTGTATTCCCCTGCTGAAGGTGTCCAGCAGAGGTTAACCGAGGTCAGAACGGAGAGGTCTGGAAAGCACCGTTCATCCAGTCTGACTGTAAACAGGCCTGAGGTTACCAGTGTTGACCAGTGAGCACTTATAACTCAAACCCGCACTTGTTTTGAAGCCAACAAAAGCAGCTGCTTCACAGGAATCGAATTAAAGTGTTAATGTGAGGAGACGAGAAGGAAATGGACTGAAGAAACAGAAATAGCACATTCTTATCTGCAAATTCATCAACGATAGTGACTCATTTAAAATTGTAAAAGTGAAAGCATTGAACTATTAACTTTGGGCCTGACTCAATGCCTCTGCTCATCTCAGTGTTTAAACACGTTCTCTACGCACACGGTTTGATTTTATACTGGACTGACAGAGGCATTTTACAAATGAATTTGCCACAGACCAATTTAGCTATTGGTTTCTGGATTAAAATGAAATAGGCCTAAGTGCAGACCCAAACTAAAGACACAGTTTTGGAGACCATTGTAAGATCTGGAGTCACTCCTGAATTCTGTACACACACAGTTTACTTTAAATACGGTTGTCAATCCCATAACTTTGCATGCAGAAAATCTTACATCACAATATTGGTCATTTTATCTAATGATATATCGATCACAATGCTTTAAATAAGGTGTGCAGGGAACGCAGCCTCTGAAGTGGGATGCAGTGTGTATGTGCAAGGGACGGTTGCATTTAGATGATTTACTGCTGAACATTTCATTCAGTTCACTAGTTTGTGGGGGTTTATCCATCCCGTACCTTTGCATGTGGTTTTAGGATAGCATGACTTAAATCCGAAAGAAAAACAAAAGCGGTATTCGTTCCTTTTTTGGTGCTTGTTTTTGAGTCTCATTGAATAAGGAATAAGGAAATATCAGTGGTTAGGAGCCACGGGGAATCCCTTCATGCCCACACACTTCTGTCTTGCATAATCTAGTCTGGTTGCATTGTTTGTCGGGTAGCCTGAAATGTGCTTTAAGTGGTAACCCGAGTCAAATTCTTATTCAATATGAATAATAAACCATAAGTTACACCAAGGCCCCATTTACACTGCATGGTTCAAGTGACCCAAATCCGATTTTTTTCCTCTCATGATGTGGCACAGATCGGATATATGACCCATGAACATGTAGGCCTAAGCAGGAAAAAAACACATGGATTCCGATTTTCTCAGATAAGATTCAGGCCTCACTCATATGTGGTAATAAATCGGATATGAATCGGATACGTGCATTTGCGTGTGCCATGTAAGCAGACAAATCGGATATTCCCCAGTAAATGCGAGTCGTACGTCATTAAAAAAGTGACGTCAACTCAGGTGGACACCGCCAACTGAGATCACATGACTTATTATAGGCGCGATGGAGGACGAATGATACACAACAATGCGGAGGTTTCATGTCTTTTGAGTGTTTGGGGCAAAGAGACGGTGCAGGCAAAAATGCAGGGTTGTTACAGAAATAAATCCGTGTTTGAAGACATTTCACGAGATATGGGGAGGCACGGTTTTAAGCGCTCGTGGCTGCAGTGCCACCGTAAGATAAAAAGCTTAATGACTTTTAAAAATATTGTGGAAAAAATATTGTTAAAAAAATCGGATATAGTCAGAAAATCGGATTTGGGCATCAAGACCTGCAGTGTAAATGCAGCCTTAGAGTCAGATCAGGTAGATATTAAAGTGACCAGATCTTTAAAAACTGTGTGATACTTTCAAAACATCTTGGTTGATGATGATTACCTTTGACCCATAATCCCACGACTTTCCTTTGTGTTTTTTAATTTATGATACCATAAACCATTATTATTATATTGCAATGGACAGACATTAACTTGCTGCAAAAGTAAAAAAAATATCACTGTTTGTTTTGTTTCGGCATCACGCTTAGGGGAGTCATCCTCATTTATATAGCGCTTTTAACAATGTAGATTCGGAGTGAAAACGTTGAGTTTATGTCCCTACAATAACAGACCAATTCATTGCAGAGTGTCATGCATGTTTACCGGTGCCGCCAACTTCACAAACTTATGAAAATCCAGCGTTTAGTTGATCCTGTTAAGCGCTCATCGTCACAGTTATAAACAGAACAGCTTTTTTTCCATGAGGGGGTTTGGCATCACAACGGCTTTGTTTCCAGGCGGACCTTTAAAGAACGTGACTCCTGGGATCCTGAAGAATTCAACCAATCAGATGAGGACTTCGAATCTCCCAAAGTGTGTCCCGATATGTGTGCCATATGCATCAGACGTTCAGCCAACAGTTTTATATGTGTGTGTGTGTGTGTGTGTGTGTGAGTGTATATATATGCATTACTAGTCTCAGTCTCAGACGTATAGGTAATTTTAGCATTCATTACATTTAATGTTTCTCTTTTTGTAGCTGGGTTTTCCCTGTCTGTTATTTCTGTTACATAAAGCTTTAAATGTTGCTTAACTGAACTCCAGCATTCGCTTCTTCTTTAGTGCTGTCAATAGTTTAAACGGTTGCGTCCTGCACTAGCGCAATGCTGATAAAGTACATCCAGATGACATTCAGGCATTTTTTACTGCCTCCCCTTGCGGGAAACATGCACTTCCCTTTTCAGCCGTTGCCAGTTAAAGCGGAGCGTACTTTCTCAGAAATGGAAGTTAATCCTGTTGAGTATCAGAGAATAATGAAAGTGAAACAAACAACGCTGTCTGTGTGTGAGATAAAGCGTTCTGTGAAGACTGTGCATGGATAAAACCCCTCAAAGAGCATAAAATAATCAAACTACAGTTTTCACTGTCATTTCTTTCTTTTATCAAAATCAATAAATGAAACTATAAAAAATATGTAAGTATAAAAAATAACTCTCATTCTCTCTCTCTCTCTCTATACATATATAAACAAAATACACAGTACAGTATAAAAGTGCAACTGTTGTCACAGAAAGTTTGAAGGACTTACAGAGAAGTGGTTTTTGCACAATCAGCTTTTGATCTGTCAGATAAAACGGTAGTTATGGTTATTTGGTAACTATATTTTGTTGAAAGCATAAATCAGATCTGCTTTATTCCTGTAACGGTTAAACCACATGTATTACTGCCAGATGAGAAGCAGAAATACACTGGGAAAAAAAGGTAAAATCCAAATTAAGTGGTTTTAGTCAAATCAAAAATTGTTTTTAACATCACTGAATCAACTGAAAAGATCAATTTCACGAGTTAGTAGGTTAACACTATTTACAGTCTAACATTTTATTATCTCATTTCTCTTGTCTTGTACTTGGTCTTTTAATAACACAACTGAATTCAAGTATTGCGAAATAGTTTGATCTCCAGCCAAAGTCTGAGGGGGGAGATTCCAGAGAAGCGACAGGCGAATCCATCGACCCGGGACAATGCTGGAACACGCAATTGCAGGATCACTGTCGATGCAAATATGAAATGTATCCCATTTCCTCATGACCCAGACTCTTCCGGTCTCTGTTTGAGTTGCAACACTGTCCTGACGGTTCTCTCCAGGGATGGACACTGTCCTGGACGGGACGTCACTAACACCCTGCACATCTGTCGCTCAGTCAGGAACCCCTCGAGAGTTTCATCCAGGTCCTTATTTCCCTCCCGATATCCGTCCAGGATGAGCAAACAATCCGCCGGCCCGAGAAGCGTCTCTCTGAGGTCAGACAGGTGATGAACTCTGGACTTTAGCAGCTGGAAAAGGTCTCCTTCCGCTCCGCTACAGTCCACCAGCAGGACCAGGTGGAGCGGGGGGGCGTTGAAGGCGCTCCCAGCCCAGCGGGACGACAGGATTTGGGCCACGGTGGTTTTCCCGCTGCCTGGTTCTCCAAACAGAAGGATAACCTGCCTCGTGTCGGGAACGATGGAGCTGATGTTTAGCGATTGGTCATCTCTGGAATTGAGAGGAAGTGATGACATGGGTTAACATGGACATCAATGCGTAATGTGTGTGTGTAGTGGTAATCTGTCAATCAGCCAGTGCTGTGTATTTCAGGAGATCACTGGAAGCAGACACTTTTTTTCTTCAGAACAAAACTATCAAGATCAACACAATTACTCGACCCTCGCCAACCATTAAGAGATAGATTATTGGGGAAAATAAATAAATAACACTTTATACATAGGCCTACATATATATGTCTGGGTAAAACATATCATGTCAGTAGCTGCGTGTTCATTACCCTTTCAAATTGCGCAAATTAAAATTGAAAATACGGCCAATGGAAACACATACATTTCGCAAAAACTCCCATTTATCGCAAAAACTTTTTGCCGCTCGCATGATGTGGTTTTCCAGGCATTTTGAATAAGGAATATTTTGCAATACTGCAATAGAAATTTTTTTTTCTCTGTGTGTGTGTGTGTGTGTGTGTTGGGTAGGTTTAGGTGTAGGGTTAGTGTGTGTGTGTGTGTGTGTGTGTGTGTGTGTGTGTGTGTGTGTGTGTGTGTGTGTGTGTGTGTGTGTGTGTGTGTGTGTGTGTGTGTGTGTGTGTGTGTGTGTGTGTGTGTGTGTGTTTTCGTGTGTTGGGTAGGTTTAGGTGTAGGGTTAGTGTGTGTGTGTGTGTGTGTGTGTGTGTGTGTGTTGGGTAGGTTTAGGTGTAGGGTTAGTGTGTGTGTGTGTGTGTGTTGGGTAGGTTTAGGTGTAGGGTTAGTGTGTGTGTGTGTGTGTGTGTGTGTTGGGTAGGTTTAGGTGTAGGGTTAGTGTGTGTGTGTGTGTGTGTGTGTTGGGTAGGTTTAGGTGTAGGGTTAGTGTGTGTGTGTGTGTGTGTTGGGTAGGTTTAGGTGTAGGGTTAGTGTGTGTGTGTGTGTGTGTGTGTGTAGTGTGTGTTGGGTAGGTTTAGGTGTAGGGTTAGTGTGTGTGTATGTGTGTGTTGGGTAGGTTTAGGTGTAGGGTTAGTGTGTGTGTGTGTGATGGGCAGGTTTAGGTGTAGGGTTAGTGTGTGTGTGTGTGTGTGTGATGGGTAGGTTTATGTGTAGGGTTAGTGTGTGTGTGTGTGTGTTGGGTAGGTTTAGGTGTAGGGTTAGTGTGTGTGTGTGTGTGTGTGTGTGATGGGTAGGTTTATGTGTAGGGTTAGTGTGTGTGTGTGTGTGTTGGGTAGGTTTAGGTGTAGGGTTAGTGTGTGTGTGTGTGTGTGATGGGTAGGTTTAGGCTTAGTGCAAGGGAGAGAATATAGAGTTTGGACAGTATAAAAACCAGTACATCCATGGAGAGTCCCAAAGATAGTGATCCAGACATGAGTGGGTGGGTGTGTGTGTGTGTGTGTATTTTCCTTAAGATAAGTAATTGCCGATTTTTCTAAGGAAGTTTTCTTTTATGCTGTGATTCAACAGAAACACGTGAGTAATGCTTTATCTGTTTAAGTGGTTCAGATTTGTATTTCCCCATATCAGTCACTCACTTGCTGTAAAGTGCAAATGACTCAAGTCTCTTTTCCACGTCCGCGTCTGTGTCGATCTGTGAATACTGTTGTGTTTGTTCGTGCCTCAGAGACTCAGGGTTTTCTGCAGGTTCTGCACAAATCAAAGACAAACAGAGTCACAAGAGCTTTACTTTCCTGACTAATGCTCACATCAGCTGAATCACGACAGGCTTCAGTGATTCACTATCACATGAAGCCTCCAGATGTGCTTCACAATGTCATGTAGACACTTTTATTAGCTATTTACAGTAGCAAACCAGACAGATGACAGAAGGAAACAGTGTGCTGGCGCAGTCGGGGGTAAAAGGCTCAAGGGTAATAGTCATATTTCCAGTTTCTACTGAACTGAACATGCATCAGCTGTTTAACCATTAACTCCTAACCATAATAAATTCATAAAGAACATGCTTTACCTTCTGAGGTTATGTGACATGTTTGTGGTCTGTTCTCGTTCACTGTCAGTAAAGCTGGGAATGAAAGAGACATTCATAAATAAGAGAAATACTGTTCAATAACTCGAACAAAGAGTTTATTGTGTTGAGGTACAATAAAAATAAATGCCTTAAAGGAATTCTGCAGGTTTAAAACATACAGCAAAAATATTTTTAAAATATATGCTAAATATAAATATATATGTTGTTATATGCAGGTTAAGGAAATTGAAAATGTATTAAGTTTAACCCTTAAAATGTCAAAATATATTACAAAATATACTTCAAAGAGCAAGAACATATATTTCCAATCTTAAAATACAGTTTGGGTAAATGCTAAATGTATTTAAAAAAATATATTTTGGACAGTATAAATATATTTTGATTAAAAATATAAAATAAGGCATGAGTATATCAATATATACATTTATGTAAAGGTAATATATTTATATTTTTTTAAGTCGTGTTGATATGTTACATATATTATCGATAAAATACTTATATATTTTTAAATGTACGTTATATATATATATATATATATATATATAAGCCTATATGTGAGTCTATATATATATATATACACTCTAAAAATGCTGGGTTGTTTTAACCCAATTTTGGGTAAAGTATGGACAAACCCAAACTTTGGGTTAAAAATGTCATTTAAAATATTAACCCAATTACTGGGTTTGTCAATATTTGATCCAAATTTGGGTTGAAATAACCCAGCATTTTTTAGAGTAAGTCATGTTGATATATTTTATATATTTCTAATATTTATCTATATTTTGAAATGTACTTTTATATATTATTGATAAAATATAAAACATATCAGCATGACTTATATAATTTAACATTTAAAATATAAATAAATAACATATTTTATATATAAATAAATAACATATTTTATATATAAATCATATATATTATTTATAAATAAAATATATTATTTAGTTATATATAAAAATGTATAATATATGTCATGTTGATATAATTCTATTTTAAAATGTACTTTAGATACAACTTAAATAAATATATAGCTGTATCATTATATATATATATATTATGTATTGCATGCTCTCAACGTCCACCGGAAATATATTGTTTTGTTTTTACAGTACACTTTTACGGTCACGTTCATATCATAAGCAAAATGAATTACTGTGCGGGAAACGAATGATGTAAATGTGAGAAACTCACAGTCCGTGTTGGCAGAGGACGAGAGCGGGAACAGTAGAGCACATTTAGATGATTCATTTCGTCTGTTTTTCTGACCTGGGAATAGATAGAGAAAATGTCACGTAAACATTTTAGCAATATTTATTGGAATTCACCCATGGCTGCACATTAAAAGAGGATATGAAATAACATTTTTGCATAGCTATGATTTTATATCTTCTAGCTGTTGACACTTCTTCTGTTCAGCATTCGGCTCATAATAATCATAATCATGAAATGGACAAATGTTTTGCAGTGTCAGGATTACTACGGGAAAATATGTTTAGTCGGGAAACCTAAAGAATGTATAAACCCTGAGAGTAACAACAGCTTATGTTCAGTGTACGTGATTTCACTTCAAAAAGTCAATTAAAGCCTTTTCATGAATGTTTCGTTTACATTTTTGTACAGATAGTTGCGTAACCGGTAGCCGAAGTGTCTCCGCACGTGAGTGATGGATGTGGGATTCACCTGTGACCAAAACTGAATGTGTTTCCTGCAAATACTGAAGATTAACAAACTGAGGACTCTCTGTTTACACGTCACATGATGCTGACTCACAAAACCGGGACATATTTGGGATGGAATACGATTAAAAATAATAAGTGAAGCAATAAACATTCAACAATAGCTGGTTTAAAAATAGAGTCTGTTACATTGATGTCACAGCACTTAAGTGCGTGATGTCCAAGAGGTGCACAGTAAGCGCACTATATAGGCCAGAAATAGTAAGAGAACTATATTAGTATGTTTTATGAACATAACCCAAAGTCATGACTGATAATATTAATATGGCAGTATGGTCAGTAACGGCTGAGGTTAGTTAAGGGTAATTTACTGGGTCATTCCTGTTTCTGCATGTTTTAGTTTCATAATGTTTAGACCTGTGCATGTACAAAATGTAATTTATGAATTTTAAAGCTTGATCTTTTTTCAAAAGCGTCACATGCACGTGAATGACTAATGAGTTTTTCACCTGTCAGCTGATAAACATGAGTATGTATTTCCTGACAGTGATCCAGCAGGGGATTCCTTCTGCAAGGTATTCAATATCATATGATGTCGACTCGCATGATTACTCTCTCAAACAAACTATAAATCAATCAAGCAAATCCACAGCGGCTCCACCTAAAACTTCTCCGTATCTGATCGAGACATCGACATGTGCCAACTGACACGCTTTAATGGACTTTGGAGAGCAGTGATAGAATCAGTGGTTTGACAGATTAATATGGTATTCACATGGGGTACTTCTAATAATACCGTGGTAAATGTCCAAACATCATGGTATTACTATGGTATAAGTCAAAGACTAGCTATTTTTTTATTATTATGTAAATGAATGAGCTCTGTTATCAAAGTACCGTTGTTCCTCCTGCGCAGAATGACGTAGATGAAGGTTATGGCTAACAGCACGACGACCACGGCTCCAATCCACGCGTACTGAGCAGAACAGTCATGATGGATTTCATCTGTGGAAACCAGAAACACTGCTGTTACACACTCAATATCTGTGTCTCATAAGAAGATCATGACGGATGTTCCAGAAACTGACACAAATTCATCATCAAAGTGTCACACACACACACACACACACACACACACACACGCACACGCACACGCACACGCACACGCACACGCACACGCACACGCACACGCACACGCACACACACACACACACACACACATATATATATATTTGTCAATAGTTTGCATTTTTACACATTTTCTTGTGTTTTTGTCATTTTCATTTTTTTTAACTATGCCTATGTAGTTTTAGTTTACTTAAAGGTAGGTAGGAATTTTATAAAAAACTTTTTTCAAAATTTGTTTCAACTTTCTGTATATATCAATGCATAATTAAAATGTAGGTACTCTGATAAAAAGAGTATAAAAATCGAGTGACTCTAGACCGTTTAATCTGCACTAAACACAGCTCATTATTTCCACCCGGGACGAAACAAAGGATTGGCTTAGGCGACTGTCACTCGCTCGCAACCATGGCAACCACACTTTTGCCACACAGGACCTGCCCACTTGCGCGTAACCGTTTGATTTGAGAAATTCAAGAGGCACGGAACCTAGGAATAGCAAAACAATGGCAGACAAAGACCAATCAAAATCCACATATGCAGTTCGCGAAGGCAAACCAGGCAAAAAAAGGAAGACAGTAACTTTACTAGAAAAGGTAATGAACAAAAAGTCTTTGGATAAACAACGATTTATCTGTCCTCGAGCTGACAATGCGGTACTTGTCTCTGGAGTGTAGTCCTCATCAGAGTCAACAATGCTTTCGTCATGGAAACTCTTACATGCAGAACACCATATAGCTATGTTATGAATGTTACACGAAATTCATCTTCATCACAATGTAAATGATGGCAATGGAAAAACGTGTATCGTGCAACCTGTTTTTAGCTTTGCCTTATAGATAACTAGCTTGTTAGCGAATCAATAAATATATATTTTAAACTTTACCAGTATCGATATGCTAGCTTGATAGTGAGTACAAAAATACATCTTATTTGTTTATCTTCATAATGATAAAGTTAGATTTTTTTTAATTACATGTGATTCTGACATGATGTCACTACATGCACTGCGCTCCTTCTCCGCTCGTCTCAGGGAAATAATGCGTCTTCAGCTCAGCGGTCGGAGTCGCGCGTTCATGTGTTTTTGGGGCGTGGCTTTGGAAGGAGCCCAGAAGGGAGTGAATGGAAATAATGAGCTGTCTTTAAAACAGTCGTGAGAGGTCTACAGACACTCGATTTTTATACTCTCTTTTTCAGAGTACTTACATTTTAATTATGCATTGATATATACAGAAAGTTTAAACAAATTTGGAAAAGATTTTTTTTTTAATAAAAATCCTACCTACAATACCTTCAATTTTAGTTATTTTAGTACTTCAACTTGTACTAACACAAGAAATGTTGCCTTATAAACTATTTTAACAAGTTTAAGTTTTATTTAGTTCAACGTAATGAAGATAGTTTTATATATAAGCTATTTTACAACAGCTTTGAACCAGTGTTGTTTCAATGTATTTGAAATACTATTATAGTTTTGTTCATCTTTTGAATTATGTGTTATTTTTATATTGTCTTTATATATATTTATAAATATTTTATTTTCATTATATTCTATATTTTTATTTCCATTTTAGTTAAAGTTTTAGTAATTTTGTTGTGTTTTAAAAAAATACTTCTATATAATTTAAGTTTACTTTCTTGTTATTATAGTTATTAATGTTACCTTGGAAACTAGCTGACATAAAATAAGTTTAACTTTTTTATTTTTCATTTTATTTCAGTTTATGTTCATTTCAAGTAATTAAATAAATTCAATTTTTTACGGGTTTAGTTTTAGTTAATGATAATAACCCTGTTTCGATTCGGCTCATCCAATCACAGCCATACATTTCTGCCAATAAACAAAAATGTAATTAAAGCTAATCGCAGTAGCACTTTATGAACACTTCTACTGAATGTGATCATGCACTGAATGCAAAAGACGTGGTATAATGTGTAACTTTGTTACATAACAGAAGATATTTCCTTTCAGACTTTGAAAGATGAACACTTGCTTTAGGGTGAAACTTCATATTCGAACCGTTTTCACAATGAGACTCGTGTCTGCTGGAAAAACACGGTAACAAAGGCACTCCTCCATATTTATCGGAAACAGTGTGTTTTTTATGTGCGTGTTTGTCTTCCTCCGCCCCCTCATCGCAGAAACACATCAAGGAAAATCTGCCTCGCACAAGCCATAAGCGATGGAAAACACAGCAGCTTTCACATCTGTAGGTTGATGCTGCTTTTCACCTTTTCATTTTACAAAGATCAGTTCTTTCTCAGGCCTTTGGTGTGAGAGACCGGGTTTGAATCCACTGTGAGACACCAGTGTTTCCCTGAGCAAGACACTTAACCCCTAGTTGCTCCAGAGGCGTGCGACCTCTGACATATATAGCCATTGTAAGTCGCTTTGGATAAAAGCGTCAGCTAAATGAATAAATGTAAATGTAAATGCTCCCGATATCAAGCGTTAGTTTCCCATCGGCAAAAACTGATTTTCCTACTTAGTATTTTTGTCTGGTTTTCCATTGCAAATATTTAAACATTCTTACGTAAATCAACATACATTTACTGGAGAAGCTAAATGATTTTGAAAATAGAATAAAAATAGATACAAATTAAGTGAGTTTATGCTTGAAACAAAATCAGACATCTGCCAACTGGGTCAGAAAAATAAACTAAATTCAAAGGGAAAGCTTGATTATTTCTCAGACCCCATTTGCAGATATTTGTTCTTGTTTCAAGCATAAACACACTTAATTCTGATCAAATTTTACAAAAGCAAGACTTAATATCTTGAGTCATCTTGCTTCTGTCGCTTCATATACTCAAGCTCTTTAAAGCAGGATGGATTCTGATTGGCTGATAATGTTTATGTGGTTCATCAGCTGGAAAAAAAATCATTGGCTAATCGCATACTTCTCTACCATATATAGCTGAAAATCAGTGAGTAACAAAAAAACTATGTCAGAATTCACAGTACTCATAAGAGAGTTGGCAAAACGTACCCGGATGATCTACTACTTCTGGTGAGATTCTGAAGTGTGCCTAAAATGGACACTTTACTGTCCCATGAGGCCGCGGGAGAGGATTTATGAAGCGACGCTAATGACACTGGTAGGTCACATGACAGAAACAACATGGCGAATTTAACACGTCCAAATTTCATCCATATCACCCATATTCATTCTCTTTTTAAACAGTCACAAAGTAAAATCAAATGTAGAACCTACTCAGACAGTATGGGATTCCAAACGCAGCGTATATAATTATCGTTATATATTTATTTATGATTTAACACCATATCAGTAGCAATGGCCATATTCATGGCACTCAACAGTATTACATTTTTTTTTTTAAATATACAAAATCAATATACAAAATCAGACATATACCAGTAGTAACAACAGTGATAATAACATTTACATAGAATCTTTCGATGTAATATTTGTTATCGTTATATATATATTGGGCCTTAATAATAATAATAATATTAATACATTTAATTTTTTAGGCGCCTTTCAGACCACCTTACAACAAAAATAGAAGTAAAAATAGCATTAGCTATTAAATAGTAGTATTTAAATAGCCTTATAGTAGTGAACCCACCTGGGATGCTGAAGGAGGCCGTCTGCTGGACCTCGCCGCTCCTGAGGAAAGAGCAGGTGTAGTTGTTCACGAGATCTCGTCTCACCGTCAGCGTGCTGAACACTTTGACCAGATCCTCGTCTGTCTGGAGCGCTGAGCTGTTGGACGTCTCCGTGAGGTTTGTGTTCTGACCGTCGCTCCAGAAAACCTGAGGTGACGGGAATCCCTGAGACTCACAGGAGAGCTCCACTTCATCCCGACCCGTTTTCCTCACGCTTTTCTTGATGGGAGTATAAGGAGCTGGAAAAAACATAAACGTAATATGTAAGTTATATGGAAGTATAAGTATAAGTATAAGTTAAACACATTAAAAAGTGTTCAGGATTGTGGATAGGTTTGGAACACTATACTAATGTATGTATATATTGTGCATATACAGTATTGCAAATTTACTGTATGTATTGAACTCAACCAAAACAAATTCTACATTTGCCAAAATGTGCAGCATATATATAAATGAATGCACTGCAGCATAAGTATATGAAACCGAAAACATTGCTATTTAATATATGAATAAAAAAATAGTAATTTAGAATTAAATACCACACATACTGTAGTGTCGTCAGTAGAAAGAGTACTATTAAGTGTCCCATAATGCACTGCAGCAGTTAATTAAACTGCAAACCAATCACCTGACACCTTAAACATGTTGTCAGCAATCAAATGAAGTAGTTTGTCAAGCTTGTGTTTTGTAAAGCACCTGTAACATTGAGCGTGACTTGCTTGTAGTCTCCCTCAGCTCCCTCTTTCACGATACACCGGTATGTTCCCGAATCTTTTATCTGGAGCTTCTTCAAGTGTAAAACCGCTCGGTTTTCCTTCAGCTGGTCTTGGATGAGCTGCGCCCGCTTTTTGAACGCATCATTGGTGTAAATTTGGTTTTCTCTGCCTTTCTCGAGCCGATACACGTCCACGTCTGGCTTCGGGTTGATGCGGGTCCATATGACGGTGAGGTCTGAGGGTCGTTGAACCGCGGAGAACACACACACCAGCTCGACGTCCCCGTGCAGCTCTGCCTCGTAAGAACTCTTCTGTACATTCACAGTAAACAGGCCTAGAGGAAGACAGGATGAAAAACATTTTTTTTTTTAAAGGGACATATTATGCCCTTTTTCAAAGTCTTGATTTTATTTTTGCGCTCTACTAGAATGTTTTCATGCTTGTATGTTCAAAAAATCACATTATTTGTCCAATAATCTCCATTGTTGCGGCTCCTCTCTTCCCAGTCTGTCAGTAACGCTCTGTTTACTTCCTGTCTCTATGAAGCCCCTCCTTCTGAAAAGCACACTGTGCTCTGATTGGTCGGCTGGAGCAGTGTGTTGTGATTGGTCGAGCGATTTGAGCGTGTTTGGGAAATGTCCCGCCCCTTACCATAACCACCAGTTTCAACACACTACTAACTAACTCGACCAGGACCCGCCCCTTTATTCTGCGTATGAATTATTATAATGAGGAAAATTGTGGCGTGTTCGTTCCCGGAAGAAACTGAAGACTACAATAGAGGCGTTTCAGGGAGTTCAGAAACACTGACACTGATATAGAGAAGAACTCTTTGTAACTTTGCAGAGCTTTTTCATGCTCAAACAGCAACATTACACACTGAAGAAAGTGTAAAAAGCATTTTAGGAGCCATTTAAAACATTATATATATATAGATATATATAACTTCATCAGTGTTCAGAACTGGAAGTGAAATGCTCAAAGGGTCAGATGTTGCACTTTCACAGCTCATGGGATGTACTGCAGTTCTCAGTTGCGTTTTATCAACTTTATTTTAAACGAGTTAGCCTACTATAGGCATCATCAGTAAGATTATAATAATGAAGCTAAAGTAAATGTGAATAGCAGCTCAGGTCATTTGATGAGAAGTGTTTGATGAGATATCCTGACAAATCTAAGCAGTTTGTCACTCTTCTGTAAAGCTTTTCAGTTGAAACCTTAATTTGCTACATTCATTTCTAGGAGAAACCACAGAGACATTTTTTTCTCGTATTAGCAGTTTCTAGATTCATCGTTTATCATTTAAAGCTGTCAGATATGTGTAATGCATATTAATCCTACCTGAAACTGAGACGGCAGGCCATAGCAGAGCCTGGATTATGAGCACCAGCGTTCCCCTCATTGACCCCTGCAGGCAAAGACAACACATCAGTCTGATATCACACACACAATCCTGATCTGAAGCCCAAACCGAGCTGTTATGAAGAGTTTGTGCGTGTGTCTATGAGCAGAACTGGTCACCGATGTCATGACCCACAATGATTCAGCAGCGATTCACTTCTTGATTTACAAACAGCACTGACTGAACCAAAAGAGTGCATTAATAACAGTTACAGAGCAGTTTTGTTGTTGTTGTTGATTTGTCATGTGACCTGATGTGAGTCAGATCTGTGGCTAGACCGTGTGACTGGATGATTCGGCACATTAACTGATTCACATGTGGGACAAAACCTAAAGAGCCCCAGGTAGATTATCTTAGAAAAACAGTGACCGTTCTTCCTCGGAAAGGATGATCTCTTTCCAAATGAAGCTTATCAGTTATTCTTACACACATTACTCAATTTCCATAACGGACACCGTAGCAAAGCTTTCATGGTAACACTTAACAATAAGGTTCATTAGTTAACATTAGTTAATGCATTTACTAACATGATCTAACAATGAGCAATACATTTGTTACAGTATTTATGAATCTTTGTTAATGTTAGTTAATAAAAATACAGCTGTTCATTGATTATGTTACTTTAGTTCACAGTGCGTTAACTAACGTTAACTAATACAACCTTTGATTTTATTAACGTATTAGTAAATGTTGAAATTATTATTAACTAAGATTAATAAATGCTGAATAAAGTTAACTAATGAACCTTATTGTAAAGTGTTACCGCTTTCATGTATGTGTTGAGAACAGAAAATGTTCAAATGTTCATAATGTAGTCCAGATAGACTGATATATGACACACATATCACGTTTTAATTGTGTTACTTGTCGTTTCTTTGTTATTGTTTGTAAAATTCATTAGCAATTAATGCATAAAAATCGTTCCTTCCAACCCCATTAGATGACCTGACCAGTGACTTGAGTCAACTCTATTCTACATTTCTGAGTAGTTCGCAAAAAGTACCTTCAGGAAAGCAAGTGTGGATTATAAATAGACTTTTTATCTCTACATTCACACAGTCATAGTAAGACTGAGAGGAATGGTGGTGTTATCAAACTCTTCATTCTGATGCTGGTGATCATTTTCTGTTTGATTGTGAACATGAGCAGGAAAGTAGTGACATTTAAGTTGGATTCCCCGGGTTACTATTGTTTACATCACTGGGAAAAACTTGTGAGTTGGTGATTAAAAACAACAACAACAACCACCACACCCACATTGATAAACTCGCTCAAAGTTAAAAATAGCGAGAGTATGAGTAACCCTTGGGCAACCCAAGGTTAATTGGTTGGCAAACAAACTTTACTTACTCTAGTAAATCCCCCTTTTAGTTTTTTGAGTTTCAACCAACAACCTTTGGGAAACCAGTCTCCTAATCTGCCACAAACATTTCTATCCAATTAAAAAGATGGGTTTTCTAAAGATGATCTACTTTTTAGCCTGAATGAGGAAATTCATACTTGTAGAGAAATGCTTAACCCTTAAACAGAAGTGTAAACTACCCAACTAGGATCAGTCTTTAGGAAAACACTGTATGTATAATTTTAAGATCATAGTGAAATCTGAAAAGAATATGTCACTGTTTTTTTTACAAAAACTCTACATATTTATGTGGTCCTCCAAGGTACTGCAAAGAATACCATGTCAAAAAACATGGGCCTGGTTTCACAGACAGGGCTTGGATTAAACCAGGATTAGGTGTTAAGGCCAATTTATACTTCTGTACGCCGTAGCCGACACCGCTGTGGGCATTTATACTTCTGCGTTCTGTTTGGGTTGCTCTGTAATTACACCACCGGTGGGGTTTCGATGTTCCACTGTGTTGAGTTTCTTCACCGCTGTTTTGAGTTTAGGCTATACAAACAATGGCGGCTGAAACTGAGTGGATTTGTGTGAGTTGGAGCTGATCGATGTTGAAAAACAGTTACTTTTAGTGAAATTACAATAACTAAAATGCAGAAACGAGAGAAGGCTTCGGAGGAGATGATACGTACGACCCGTAAACCGGTTGAGGCAAAAAGAGGGTGAATTTTCTGGGCTTGTCCGGCCCCTTGAGAGACATGGACGTGGAAATGCATTTGAGATATTTTCGAAAGTCGGCCGATAGGTTCGTCGTGTGCAGCCATTTATCGTACATCAGTGTACTTCTGATTTTCAAAATGGCGGCCTAGGAGGAAACGCGATGCTACAAATCCGACCAATCACAGATCTTGAAGTCGTGTAGTTACATTTTTGGGGGAGGTGCGCGTCAGGGTACGGCATATGGCTGTAGTTTAGATAGGACATTTAAGTAGCTTTTATAAACGTGCTTTAGGAAAAAACATTAGTGTGCATCTAGAGACAACACAATGGCAACTTATTTAAAGATTTAAAGCCTTGTCTGTGATAATTAAACATTTCTAAATAATTAAAAATTAATTAATTAATCAGTAAAATTGGGAAATTAATAAATATGAATTAAACAAAACATTACTATGGTAGCACATCTAATACAAGGGTACTTTTTAAGTGGTATCTAGCTTTATGAGATAATGGAAAAAGCTCAGGCTTAAACACGTTCAGTCCCGTAGCTAAAATAACAATATAGACGCAAGACATTCTTCACAGTGCTGGATCCATTTAACCCTTTTTAAAGACCATATAGAGGCTCTACTGCATCTCATTTTACAGAGATTACAGGGGAGGATTTCCATCTGTATGTCATGACAGGTACCAAAACAATGATACTTAATTGTATAAAAGCCTTAAAAAAATAAATAAGAAACTGGTGCCAGTTGCATAAACAGTCAAGAGTGTGTCTTGAGAACCATTCTGACCAACTAGCATTTCGAAAGACTTTAAAAAGTTATGATTTGTCTATAAGAAAAAAATTAGATGACTAACAACTTGTAAGATTAGTCTAAGCTTTTTATGCAACTGGCCCCTGGATGTAATTATTATAGCCCCCATATACAGCATAACTAGAGAAATTGATATTATTCACAATAAAAAAAGTGTTTTAGCCTACTACCACTATGACAATTCCACACACTTTGCCAAATTTCTTTGTGCACAAAACTCTCCTTTTAAGTGCATCATACTGCAGAAATACAGTTTGCAGCAAAACCACATTCCACAAAATCACAGGATGTTAAATTGGGTTGTTACAATTTAACATCCTGCAATTTAACACCACATCCTACAATTTAACACCACTGTAAACAACAGCTTAAAATGTATGACTTTAAAATGACAAATTAAACATAAAATAGCCCAGTAAATTAAAATCAATAACTCCAAATCATGATCGTTTTATTTACACTATATCCATAAGTAGACATCAGATTATATATTGTGTGTGTGATTATATATACACGAAATTGCTTGGTTACTTACTTAATGATGAATGTCGCGCATGAGCAGAAGCCTGTAACCTGTGGCTCAGTGTTTGTGTTTCTGCGGGTTTGTGGAGAGGATCTGCTGTAAAAGCTTCTCGAGCGCGTCCTCGGCTCCTCCCACTCTCGCTGCTCATTGGTCAAGACCGTGACGTAGTGGCGGCGAGTTTCAAAGAAAAACCAGTCTCGTAGAAAAACATGATCATGAGTTCAGTAGTTTGGCTTCCCTTCATTCACGGATACTGAGAACGCAATGACAGGACCGTTAAATCATCGCGGAATCCGGTAAATCATCACTGGAATGAACATGTAGATTCGCTGGCATCATAGTCTCGTTTCCTAGGTTAAACAAATCTATAAAAAACGGAATACTGCTGACAAGGAAGTGCGATAGATAGATAGATAGATAGATAGATAGATAGATAGATAGATAGATAGATAGATAGATAGATAGATAGATAGATAGATAGATAGATAGATAGATAGATAGATAGATAGATTTCTCTTTCCCAGTTTTACTTTGGGTGTTTCACAAGCATGCAGAGACTTGAAAGGAATTTAGTATCATTTTCCACTAATCCAACTCATATTAAAAAAGAAAAAAATCCTAAAAAAAGGCTTCACCACGATAATACCCTTGAAATGAAGATCTGCCATCATTTACTGACTGTAAATGTAATATCGCATGACTCTTCCTTCCTTCCTTCCTTTCTTTCTTTTCTGTGAAAGTAAATGAGGACCGAGTCTATGAAAAGCTTCAAAATGACAAAAAAGACTTATAAGGTTCCACTAACAATGAAAAAAACTTCTAAAGCATTTATTAATCTGTTAATCTCAACATTTACTAACACATTACATACAAGTTAATATCTGTTAATATTATTTAGCCTAATTAACCTGTGCATAAATTAACTAACAATAAACAGTTGCACTTCTATTATCTAACATTAACAAAGATTACTGCTCATTGTTAGGTGGTGTTAGTTGACACATTAACTAACCGTAAGTATATAGTATAGTAATGCATTATGTTTTAAGTTAGTCAGACAAGAGGCTGAGTAAAATATATTTTGGTTGAATTATTCATTTAAAGCTTAATAATAAGTATAAGAAAATATCTCATGACTTACATTACTGTAATACTGCTTGTGTGTTCGTCTTGGACGAAGCACCTTGTGACTGTAAAGAATATCAGGGGATTTTGTTAATAATGCTCGAAGTGAAATTATAACAAACCATCTCATTTCATTAGCACTAAAGGTTCTCACGTAATCCAGGGCATTCTGGATCTCCTTTAACTGGAAATATTTTGGATGTGATCAACTTCCTGCCGGTAGCAGATCAATTGAATGGCATCATCACGGTATGATTTCGACTATCTGGGTTTTCCATCTTAATCCAGGGGACTCGTTCAGATCAGATTTACTTGTATGGTGGAAACTCCACCAGGGCATCTGAAATGCCACACTAATCTGAAGAATGATAATATTAATATTTGTATTGTCTTGGTCCTTTTCCTTCACGGAAAGACACCTTATATAATAATGAAGATTGATTCCCATGTCTTTGTTTTTTTTCTTTCAGGCTAGACCTGTTTGTTGGGCTCATGTTACTTACCTGTAGATTACTGTGTGACATGGGAAACAACCTTGGGATTTTAACACACACACACACGATCAGGAAAAACACAACAAATACATGCATTGAGGTTCAGAAGTCGACACTGAATTTGAACTAATATATAGTAGTGGCCAAAAGCAATGTCCGGCATAGGAAAATTGACATCTTGACATCAATATTGACATTAGTTGTGACAGATGACCGGACCTAAACGTAACTATATGGATATTGCGCCTATTAACATTGCCCTTATCTGGGGCAACACATTTCTAGATGGAGGGACACATTTTCTTTTTCCAGAACGGCAGAAGCCTGGAGCAGTACGTCGACACCTGCCGATGACGTCTGCCTTATTTAGGGATTTAGGTGCGGGCTGGACGACAAGATCCGCTTCCCCCTGGCCAGAGGAGATCCCTGCTGAACCCCAGACGACCGGGGCTTGACATTAAAGGGACAGTTCACCCAAAAATGAAAATTAGCCCATGATTAACTCACCCTCAAGTCATCCTAGATGTATATGACAGTCGGAGTTATATTAAAAAGTGTCCTGGCTCTTCCAAACTTTATAATGGCAGTGGATGGCCATTTCTGTTTTGAAGTCCATAAAAGTGCATCCATCCATCATAAAAGTGCATCCATCCATCATAAAAGTGCATCTATCCATCATAAAAGTGCATCTATCCATCATAAAAGTGCATCTATCCATCATAAAAGTACATCAATCCATCATAAAAGTGCATCTATCCATCATAAAAGTGCATCCATCCATCATAAAAGTGCATCCATCCATCATAAAAGTGCATCTATCCATCATAAAAGTACATCTATCCATCATAAAAGTGCATCCATCCATCATAAAAGTGCATCCATCCATCATAAAAGTGCATCCATCCATCCATCATAAAAGTGCATCCATCCATCTTAAAAGTGCATCTATCCATCATAAAAGTGCATCTATCCATCATAAAAGTGCATCTATCCATCATAAAAGTGCATCCATCCATCATAAAAGTGCATCCATCCATCATAAAAGTGCATCTATCCATCTTAAAAGTGCATCTATCCATCATAAAAGTGCATCTATCCATCATAAAAGTGCATCTATCCATCATAAAAGTACATCAATCCATCATAAAAGTGCATCTATCCATCATAAAAGTGCATCCATCCATCATAAAAGTGCATCTATCCATCATAAAAGTGCATCTATCCATCATAAAAGTGCATCTATCCATCATAAAATCATAAAAGTGCATCTATCCATCATAAAAGTGCATCTATCCATCATAAAAGTGCATCCATCCATCATAAAAGTGCATCTATCCATCATAAAAGTGCATCTATCCATCATAAAAGTGCATCCATCCATCATAAAAGTGCATCCATCCATCATAAAAGTGCATCTATCCATCATAAAAGTGCTCCACACGGCTCCGGGAGATAAAGGCCTTTTGAAGCGAAGCGATGCATTTGTGTAAGAAAATATCCATAATTAAAACTTTATAAAGTAAAATAACTAGCTTCCAGCCAAACGAACATACAGATTCCACGTAAGTCTAAAGCGCAACTTATGCGAGTAATGCGACGTACTGCTGATATTTACGCTACGCCATGACGAACTACGCTACTTCCCACGTCACTTGCTTAAGCTGCGCTTTAGGTGTAACTGCTTTTTGGCCTAGAATTTTACTTTGTAATGTGTTAAATAAATATGAACTTTTTTTTTTTTTACACAAACTCATCGCTTCTCTTCAAAAGGTCTTTATTAACCCCCCGAGCCGTGTGCAGCACTTTTATGATGGATATGATGCACTTTTATGATGGATGGATGCACTTTTATGATGGATATGATGCACTTTTATGATGGATAGATGCACTTTTATGATGGATAGATACACTTTTATGATGGATATGATGCACTTTTATGATGAATAGATGCACTTTTATGATGGATATGATGCACTTTTATGATATGATGCACTTTTATGATGGATAGATGCACTTTTATGATGGATAGATACACTTTTATGATATGATGCACTTTTATGATGGATAGATGCACTTTTATGATGGATAGATACACTTTTATGATGAATAGATACACTTTTATGATGGATATGATGCACTTTTATGATGGATAGATACACTTTTATGATGGATAGATATATGATGCACTTTTATGATGAATAGATGCACTTTTATGATGGATATGATGCACTTTTATGATGGATATGATGGACTTTTATGATGGATAGATGCACTTTTATGATGGATAGATACACTTTTATGATGGATATGATGGACTTTTATGATGGATATGATGCACTTTTATGATGGATATGATGCACTTTTATGATGGATATGATGCAGTTTTATGATGGATATGATGCACTTTTATGATGGATAGATGCACTTTTATGATGGATAGATGCACTTTTATGATGGATATGATTCACTTTTATGATGATATGATGCACTTTTATGACGGATATGATGCACTTTTATGGTTTCAAAACTGAAACAGCCATTCACTGCTATTATAAAGCTTGGAAGAGCCAGGACATTTTTTTTATATAACTCCGATTGTCATATACACCTAGGATGACTTGAGGGTGAGTAAATCATGGGATAATTTTCATTTTTGGGTAAACTATCCCTTTACCACCCGGGGAAAATGCTCACCGTTGTGGCTGGTGAGCAAAAAAAAGTTAATTTCGACCCTGCCGAGGACTATATCAGCTTTGCACTGTGGCTGAACGGATCCACAGTCACAGTGGGCGAAGCGGAGAATGACATAATTATAAAAATGAATATAATAATTTAGTAAATTTATATAGCGCTTTTCTGGGTACTCAAAGCACTTTACATATGGAAGGGGGTAATCTTCAATTCTCAACCACCACCAGTGTACAGCACCACCGGGATGATGCAACGGCAGCCATATTGTGCCAGAAAGCCCACCACACACCAGCTTATAGATGGAGAGGAGACAGAGTGATGAAGCCAATCAGTATATGGGGATGATTAGGAGGCCATGATGGACAGAGACCAATGGGCAAATTTGGTCAGGATGCCAGGGTTAAACCCCTACTCTTTTTCTGAGGGACATCCTGGGATTTTTTTTTTGATGACCACAGAGAGTCAGGACCTCGGTTATACCAGATTTTGTTGGAAATTGAAACTAGGGACGACTGGTTGATTGGTTGGGACCCTGAAGCATTATTTCCCTTTCTGCCCTTCGCTGACTCATCAGTGTCTGTCTACAATACATCATTGCTGGTCCTGTCCAGCATAAAACCTGTTACATCGCTGGATCTATCCAGTATAGAGACTGTATCATCGCCCTGTATAGACACTGTATTACCTTCAGCCTCACCTCAGCTGGTTCCCCCTTCACACTGTGTGGTGCAGCTGAGCCCCAGGTCTTACGGTCACCAGCTTCACTGAAACAAG